TATTTCTATATTGCTCTACAATTGATGTATTGAGCACTATTTTAACAGTGGTATTTCTATATTGCTCTACAATTCATGTATTGAGCACTATTTTAACAGTGGTATTTCTATATTGCTCTACAATTGATGTATTGAACGCTATTTTAACAGTGGTATTTCTATATTGCTCTATAATTGATGTATTGAGCACTATTTTAACAGTGGTATTTCTATATCGCTCTACAATTAATGTATTGAGCACTATTTTAACAGTGGTATTTCTATATCGCTCTACAATTAATGTATTGAGCACTATTTTAACAGTGGTATTTCTATATTGCTCTACAATTGATGTATTGAGCACTATTTTAACAGTGGTATTTCTATATTGCTCTACAATTGATGTATTGAGTACTATTTTAACAGTGGTATTTCTATATTGCTCTACAATTGATGTATTGAGTACTATTTTAACAGTGGTATTTCTATATTGCTCTATAATTGATGTATTGAGCACTATTTTAACAGTGGTATTTCTATATTGCCCTATAATTGATGTGTTGAGCACTATTTTAACAGTGGTATTTCTATATTGCTCTACAATTGATGTATTGGACACTATTTTAACAGTGATATTTCTATATTGCTCTACAATTGATGTATTGAGCACTATTTTAACAGTGGTATTTCTATATTGCCCTACAATTGATGTATTGAGCACTATTTTAACAGTGGTATTTCTATATCACTCAACAATTGATGTATTGAGAACTTTTTTAACAGTGGTATTTCTATATCACTCTACAATTGATATATTGAACACTATTTTAACAGTGATATTTCTATATTGCTCTACAATTGATGTATTGATCACTATTTTAACAGTGGTATTTCTATATTGCCCTACAATTGATGTATTGAGCACTATTTTAACAGTGGTATTTCTATATCACTCAACAATTGATGTATTGAGAACTTTTTTAACAGTGGTATTTCTATATCACTCTACAATTGATATATTGAACACTATTTTAACAGTTATATTTCTATATTGCTCTACAATTGATGTATTGAGCACTATTTTTTGTTTTTTGCAAAATTGTTCCATATCTCCATCTAAAACTGTAAATTAGCTAGTTATTTAACCGTTGGAATGTTTTTGATATCTCAATTAGAACTCAAACTACAAATGCCGAATACTTAATACAGGAATTGCAATAATTACAATGAAGTTTTTATGAAGGCTTTTCCCACTTTATCATTTTTGAGGATTTTTAAGAAGTGAAATGAATGGAGTTTTACGTCCTACTTTTCTGCACCATGTGGGCTAATGAAGACGGGCAACGCCGTGCAGGGTGCAATGAGAGAAATTTTGTCAGTGGCATTAGCCTGCTCAACTGTCCAACTGTCGAGGGGTCTTTAACGTGCACAGCCTGTAGCACGCGGGGCCTCGGTTTATTGTCCCATCCGAACGACTAGACGCTTTTTCCATGTCAGCCCCTCTTACCTGCATCACTGACAGGGGGGAACCAGGTTGAAAGATCTGAAGGTATTATTTCGACCTATGCCGGAATTGAACCCTGGGCCTTCAGGTTAGCTAGGGGGATTTTTAAGGCCAATACAAATTAATAAGGCCGTTTAAAGTTACCCATAAAATAGGCGACAGGCCAAACCAAGACGATATTAGAGTTTAAAGTCTTGTGAATCAATTGCAGGCTTAAAAGCACCGCGATTGAAAGCTAACAGGCTAGAAGTATCAAGAGGTTTAAAAGACACTGAGTTATGGTCTCGTTGCCACGCTCGGAGCTGTTCGCAGTTCTTGTATCGTTATTTAGTTCTGGAAGTATCTGTGACATAATTTGCAGTAATTTTGTGGATGTAGCCTACTACACTTATTGGGTGTGATCTAAGTCAGTGCTTCTAAAACTCAGTGACATAATTTCTTCCCAGAAGTGTTTTTCATACAAAAAATGTATTCAACGATTAACCATGAATGGATATAAAATCATACTCCATATACAGAGTTAGTGCAATGTGATCCATGGGCCTGATGTTCGTTTATGATTTTCTGTATGCTTGGGGTTTATGACATCAATTTCAGTCGTAGATCAACTTGCCTCCCATTTCTTTCCTGGTCCGACGATTCCTCGCTCCCGGGTATAATTCCTCCCATGGTCTTCTAGTTCCTTCCCTGTTGAAAAGCACTGATATACAGTATGTGTTATGATTTAAGTTGTCTTTAGCTCTACATAGCATTTAGTTCAAAGCCCTCTCACATATCCGTATACTTGTATTCATTTCCATTTTGTCTTTTTCAGTCAATCATCAAGTTCACATCATAAGTTAAACTTTTATTAAAAACATAAAATTAGAGGTATTTATTATAAGTATAACTTCATAAGATTCATAATTAAATTATCTAAAGTAGAATTTTAATAAACAACTTGCAGTTAACTGATATCACAGATAAGGTAAGTTGTTGGTAGATGACAAGTTAACGTCCTGCGATTCACTAAAACTAATTGTTTAATGTTACTACCTACAAATCCTGCTTGTTACATTGGAATGGTGCAAATTGATGCTATCAGTGTCCCTGGTCTACATACAAAATTAGAAAATTGTCTTTCCAGTCATTTAAAATAGAGTACAAGGTTTCTGGATTTAAAATTAAGATTACCTTTCACACAATGTCATTATCTCTTTTACTTCCAGTTTTTATTCTAAGAATAACTAGATAACAAATATATAGAAAATAAATACCACCGAAAGAAAGCATCAAAGTCTGACGTGGTTTAGTAGCAATTTACATAGAAAATATCATATCTATGTATATTGGCTTTCTACATTAATTTAACCTAAACTTCAATTTGTTCAACAAATTTAGAAAAAAACTTTTTCAAATCTTCGCTTCTTTGTTTACCGGTCTGTAAAACTTCCTCATGGTTGGCGAAGGCTGTGGAATCATATTCCATAATACATTCGTTAGTGATCAACGACATCCCGAATATTTTCATTCCACAATGTCTCGCCACTAGCACCTCGGGTACTGTACTCATACCTACAAATATAAATATTATATCAGATGTCAGTCAGGTTAGAGTTAGTAAAACACTAAACTGTCGAGCGTAACATGATGATTCCGCAAACAAACCGTCAGAGTGTTTACGAGCTATTATGGACGAACCGACGGACATGTGTGCCTCCAATGTACGTCCCCGCCCCATGTGGGAATATCAAAAGTAATTTTTCACAAATCTCTTATATAATACATGTTATCAAAGGATATACAGATCATAATACAGCACTAAACATCTGATTGGTTGAAACCTCTTTACTTTCACTTTAAAACATCTCTAAGTTACTTGATAATATTGATTTAATCAATCTGTAATGAGTCTAAGTTATAAAAATTCTCTAATTACCAGTAGCGTCCACTCCTAATATTTCTAATAATCTACATTCTGTTACAGTTTCGAATGCTGGTCCGACCATCATACTGTACACCCCTTCTTGTAGATAACTCTCCATATTCATATTTTTAGCCACACTCCTTGCAAGATCCCGATACTTTTTATCATATGAACCAGACATTGCAGGGAATCTTGGACCAAATCTACATTGATACAAAATAAAGTGGATGTACGGAATGGTGAATGAATGGATGAATGAAGAATGGAATGAATGAATGAATGAAGGAAAACGAATGTGAATGAATGAGTAATTTAAAGAGAATAAATGAATGAATGTAATTTCAGAGGCAAGTCATGAGTAAATGGCAGAATGAATGAATGAAAAACTGTATGGTTGGAAGAATGGGAGAACAAAACAAAACAATATACATAAATGAGCAGATGAGTATTTGGGTTCGTTTCATCAACTTGGAAGGTCATATAACATGAAACATAATAAAAATACAACACCAAATATCAAAAAGATTTCACAAAAAGCTAAAATTACCTTTCATCATTAGGGCCAACAAGGGGATTAACTCCAGCGAACCCAGCTAGATTAATATGATCTTTTATTATCATGACATCACCAACTTTATATTTCCTGTTAATACCACCAGCAGCGTTCGTTACAAGCAGCGTTCTAACACCCAGTAATTTCATACATCGGATAGGCAATGCAATCTGGAAATACAATATCTAAACCTGAACACACGACCCTTGACAATAGTTGAGGATGAAAGTCGACTGTCGTAAGTACTGGCACAGGCATCAGAAATTTTCTTAGGCGGATTCTAGCCCATGGCACCTGACAGTCCCGTCGCCAGGAATGAATTGGTGCTTGGGCTCAGATTTTGTACTCAGGAAATTTAAAGAATTAAAGACCCAGAGAACTTATGTCTGACAATTTTGAGGTGCAAAAAAGGAATCAAAATCTTATGATTATATGATGTTCTAGACTATTTACATATATTCAAATGAACACCCCAAAATTGTGATCCATGACCTTTACAGGGATATATGCATGCGCCATTTTGGGGTGTTGATTTGGGTCTTGAATATATGTAAATAGTCTTCAGAATTGCTAGATTTGTACGAAAACAATTCCTTCAAAATTATCTCAATTTCAAATTTCTTTTCTTATTTCTACAGATGTCTTTTCTATAAACGGCAGTCTCAACGAAAGACGATTCTTCTTTTTAACTTTCAAACTCAGATAATTCTGTACACACATGGATTTGAAGGCTCAAATTTCGAAGGCTTAGCTAAAACATGCCCGTTTTGGAGAATAAGATACGATTGGTAAGAAAAAAGGCGCATCTGTCCCTTTAACAATCTGATGAGAATGCCAGTTTTTATGTTTTTCTGCAGGATACTTTTTTGAACAGAGAATTTGATTGGTTGAATATCATATGACCAAGAACAGAAGATGGAAAAAGGTAACGACTATGGTAAACCACCCTAAATCTTCCCGGCTCCACTATTCATCATTACGTAATATAGTCTATAATATATAGTGTAGTCAACCTACCTTCTGTGGGGGGTACCCTTCATAACAATGTGATCTTCCCTGCATCAAAACAACTTCCTTACCTCCCAATTTACCAAACACTAGTTTACCCTCGTGACCCGGCACTGTAAATAGTAACAAATATATTGATAAACTTGATAATTCACTTTCTCTGAGGACACAAATTGAACTCTGGCTCCCCTTAATCACTACAAATCTCGTGATAAAACTTAACTTAACGCCCAAGACACTATGTTCATTTAATACTGAGATTGATTCAGAATAAATAAAGCAAATACTAACGATTCGAACTGCAAAACGAAACCCGAAATCCAAACAAGATATTGGCGAAACATTGGAAGCAGCTAATAAACCTTTCACATGAGGAAGTATATCAATCATAAGTGAGTAAATATTTCACCATGAAAAGTGGTATCAGGTTTGGAAGCATTTTAATGATGAAAATGGTTCTGTTACTCTTAATGTGAAACTACGTCTTAGAGTGAACATAAACTTTAAGTTCTCAAGAATATTCAATATGAGTATATATTCATCAGTTAACGTACCTGGAGTCATAAAGTTACAACAGAATCCCTGTAAAATCTAGAAAATTGGAAAATTCATAAAACTAAGTAATTATTTAAAAACGCTTAATCTTAATATTAAGCGTTTTTCAATAGTTAATTGTATATTTATGGATAATTACTAAGTTTTTTTGGATTTATCGGATTATATAAGGATCCTGTTATGTTATTTATAACACCAGGTATATCTACTGATGAATATATGCTCTTATTGGCCAAGTTTAAAATTCTTAAATTTTATGTTCATTCTAAGACGTAGTATCACTTTAAATACTCTCACAATTTATCATTAACCTATTGAAAGATTTCTCTCTTGCAAAACATAATGATTATAAGTCATATTGTTTGAGTTTGTTTTATGGATGATTGGAGTGATTTAGATTAATTTTAAAAAGTAAGCTTTGTTTTTATAGAGGTTCCAGCATCTCCATCAAGTTCTGTTGGGGTTGCGTTTCAATGGGTGGCATCGGTGGTGGAGCCAGGTTTACGTTCCAGGAGGTGGCGAAATACCTGAGGTCGCTCTAATTTCTAACCTAGTTATGAGATTTTTGCCCGAAAACATGCCTTTGAAACATGAAATTAAGACCTCTATCTTATCCAGGCTAGCCACCTTTCTCGCAAGGGAGATAACTCTTCATATAGACATAATATTTCAAGACCACAATATAACAATAGACCATGATATTACAATATGACAATAAGAAAGTTTTAATGTAACTACTTATTGTTATTCATGTCCTACTTCCTCACTAATTAATGGCTTAATTAGATATGATTAATTAGAATATTGATATGTTATTACTCATTAGCATAATCATAAACAATTATCAATTTAAAATAATAATTAATGGTAATCTATAACCTCTCATCAACCAAAACTTTTTTGATTTTCAGAAATCTATTAGATTTTACTTCCTCATGTGAAAAGTTCATTAGCTGTTACCAATGTTTCACCAAAATGTTGTTTATTGTTAGTACTTTGTTTATTTATATCAAAGTTTAAAGTGCTCTGTGGGCTCTTTGGGGTGAATTTTTATTATACTCTGGATTTTTTTTGGGGGGCGAGAGCAGATTTCAGGTGTCCTGATAACTTACTGGGGGGAAATATCAAGATTGGCATGGGCTCTTTTTGTAATTTTAAAACTTAGTACTCTGTTATATTTTGTTCTTCTGTGAGCATATGTTGAATTTAAAAAATTGAGAATAAAAGAATTGTAATTACCTGTACTGACGGGGAAGCCAGGAATGTCAGTGTAGGGAATGATGGTTGGATCTTGAACCTCCTCGGCTAATTTCCCTAAACCAGATCCACAAACTATACCAACGATAGGCTGCGTTTTTATTTTAGATTGGAGGAACTTCGTCACTTGTTCAACTTCTTCATAGCTCGCCCTGAAACAAAGGAAAAATTTATCAAAATTTAAAACAATTTTTAGTTGATTTTTTCAAAAAAAAAAAAAAACAGAAATAAAAAAGTTGTAGATCTAATACAGGAAATATCATCAAATATATTGAATATTATTTCTGGGAAAACTTAATCAAGCCATTAGCCCATTACTGTAAGAAATACAATCAGTTTATCATCGTCTTCTCTTAAACACGTACAAAACTATTACATATTTCTACCATGTTTTACTTTAGCAGGTAAACCTTGTATTTAAGACTGAGATAATAAATATTCATGATGTCACATGGTTTTACAATAAACTAGTACGAAGCCACATTCGTTTTGTCAATCAAACACGAATAGAGCAATCCTTCTGTTACAAAAAAAGATTGTTTTTATTGGTTTAAATTTACAGTCTCATAAGAGGGTTTTTGGATAAAGTCAACCACTGTCCAATCTTTTTATAGATGTCTTTCCACTACCCATTTCCCTATAATTCCATTAAAACTCTCACATGATGATTATCCACTGAATCTTTAAATCAACAGAACAGGATCTACAGAATATATAATATTCAAATCAGCAAATGGTGAAAAAATACCGGAGGATAAAAGCAGCCGACCAACCGAACGCTCTAAACCAACTAAACTTTCAACCAGGACGTTAAACACAACAAGATGTAACACGAATATACAACAGGAATTAATACAAAGTTCAAGGTCAATAAAGTCATACGAATGGAAATATATCGAGAAATTTACACAAAATTTCATCTTTAAAACTAGCTGTCCTGATGAAGATTGTGTATCTGAATGACATGTCAGTAAAGTGATATTAATGGAAATATTTCTAGTAATTTTCATACAAAATGTCATTTAGCTGTCCTGGTAAGGATCGTGTATCTGAAATACAGGTCAGTAGAATGATACACGTGAGATTTTTATTACCGTTATCTTCAAAACTAGTTGTCCTGATTAGGACTGTATATCTGAAACACAGGTCAGTAAAGTGATCTTTAATTTACCGTCAAAAAATCATCTTTTAATCAGTTTATTTTAGGGTAGGGTGAGAAATAAAGTTTGTCTGGATAAACAGGAACCAGTCATCAGATGAGAAAGAGACAAGACAAAGACAGTGTATTAATATATTACAACCTCGAAAATTACAAGAAACTTGTCCTTTAAAATATTTTTAATTTGAAAAAAAGTTATGTAAAGATATGCAGTAGATAATAAACAAATTTGAACTAAATAAATATAACACCACAGTTTGTAAGGTCAAGGAAACGTTTTATTAGGGAAATTTACAGTATTGTCAACGACAGACAGCCCAGTGTGATCAGAGTTTCCGTTTAACAAAACCTGTTACCCCGATTTCCTCTTGACAATTCTGTTGCCCTTTTGACAATTTATTCGACCCTTGACAATTCTGTTGCTGATCTTTGACAATTTGTTGCCATTTGACAATTCTGCTGCTCCTTGACAATTCTGCTGCTCCTTGACAATTCTGTTGCATCTTGACAATTCTGTTTCCTCTTGACAATTCTGTTGCCCCTTGACAATTCTGTTGCATCTTGACATTTCTGTTACCTCTTGACAATTCTCTTTCCTCTTGACAATTTAGTAGTCCCTTGAAATTCTGTTGCCCCTTGCCAATTCTCTTATACTTTTGACAATTATGTTGCCTCTTGACAATTTAGTTGCCTCTTGACAACCCTGTTGCTTCTTGACAAGTCTGTTGCCTCTCTGTTGCCTCTTGAAAATTCTTTTGTCCTTTTGACAATTCTGTTGTTGGCTCTTGACAATTCTGTTGTTGCCTTATGACAATTCTGTTGTTGCCTTATGACAATTCTGTTGTTGCCTCTTGACAATTCTGTTGCCCCTTGACAACTCTGTTGGCTCTTGACAATTATTTTGCTGACCCTTGACAATTCTGTTGCCCCTTGACAATTATATTGGCTCTTGACAATTCTGTTGCTTCTTGGCAATTCTGTTGTTGCCCCTTAACATATCTGTTGCATCTTGCCAATTCTGTTGCCTCTTGACATATCTGTTGCCTCTTGACATATCTGTTGCATCTTGACAATTCTGTTGCATCTTGACAATTCTGTTGCATCTTGCCAATTCTGTTACCTCTTGACATATCTGTTGCATCTTGACAATTCTGTTGCATCTTGACAATTCTGTTGCATCTTGACAATTCTGTTGGCCCTTGACAATTCTGTTACCTCTTGACATATCTGTTGCATCTTGACAATTCTGTTGCATCTTGACAATTCTGTTGGCTCTTGACAATTCTGTTGCCTCTTAACATATCTGTTGCATCTTGACAATTCTGTTGCATCTTGCCAATTCTGTTGCCTCTTGACATATCTGTTGCATCTTGACAATTCTCTTGCATCTTGACAATTCTGTTGCATTTTGACAATTATGTTGCATCTTGACAATTCTGTTGCATCTTGACAATTCTGTTGCCCTCTTGACAATTCGGTTGCCTCTAAGGTAATGATTCATAGAAACATCATTGCTTCAGCCCCAGGGGAACTCAAATCACTTTCAACACGGCACCCTGAGCTAGAAGACTAATAATCTTGTAACTCAATAATATTAAGGGGCAGTAGTGGGTATTTTAGGAGGTTAATTATAGGTTGATTATAGGTAAATGTCTAAACACTTCCAGTTCCGAGACCAGATTGATCTAACGGATGGTGAATGTGTCCTTTTCAAAAGCAAGTCTGAAGTTTTATTTCCATGGTGTTTTTATCGGCTTGTGACTTGTCAGTCATAATATATCAACACTGTTAAAGGGACAGATGCGCCATTTTTATCACCAATCATATTTTAGTTTCTGAAACGGGATTTTGTTTTTTAGCTAAACTAATCAGTAATAGTGTTCACATTTCACCGTACAAATTTGAGCCTTCAAATCCATGTACGTCCAGAATTATTCTATTTTGCATGTTAAAATGACGACTCTTCCCTTTCAGCGAAACAAGAAAACGTGACTCGTCTCAATATAATAAGACCGACTCAATTCGGCCCAATATTGACTAACCAATGTTGTATATATCTGTATGTAGTTTGATGTTACAGTGCTGGTAAATAAACGTGACTTTATATCTGGTTGTATGTTTACTTCGTATCTTGGGGATGCTGTTCCCGTATAGCTGTGTGCCAGGTTGGCGTATTTCCGGCGTTGCAGTATTGAGGAATTCTGGTACGATTAAGCCACCCTTTCAGCTGGTAGCGTTCCCACATCAACTCTACCATATTGCTATTACAATTCATGGACTAACGTCTATATTGGATTGGTATAGGCTATAAGAATAGTAGATATATCTTCCTGACGCCCACGTCTTTCCCTTTTTGGTTCGTTACAGATTTTTGGTGTCAGATACTGGTGAGATATTCAAAAGTCAGATAAAATTTGATAGTTAACTCAAAACTGATACTATTGTAAAGCTGTAATTATTTGATACTTTGGAGGCGATGTCCCGAAGGTCAAGGTTAATCCTCAATGAAGGCCACTATAGTCTCAATAATTCTACAGTCAATTGGCAGCATCCAAGTCTTTCTAATCCCACATACATGTATATTTAGAAGGTGCTAATGTAGTTAAATTACTATTTTATTCTATATGTAAATGTATGTTTTGTTATATATTATGTTGACAGTGTTGTTATGTTTTGTTATATATTATGTTGACAGTGTTGTTATGTTTTGTTATATATTATGTTGACAGTGTTGTTATGTTTTGTTATATATTATGTTGACAGTGTTGTTATGTTTTGTTATATATTATGTTGACAGTGTTGTTATGTTTTGTTATATATTATGTTGACAGTGTTGTTATGTTTTGTTATATATTATGTTGACAGTGTTGTTATGTTTTTAAATTATGAGCGCCTGTCACAGTAATCATTATATTGGAAGTATAATTTGCACTGTTGCAATTTTGTGGAGAAGCCTGGTCTGGCGTAGAAAATATCTCAATATCAAGCAGCAACGAGTTTCCATGACCAAAAGAAGAACAATTCTCGAAATCGTCACAATTAGTCGAAATCGTCAGTCGTACTTTATATTTTAGTCGTTGTCGAACTTTTTTTCAAACTAGTTGAAACTCTTATGCAAGAAGTCATCACGATTTTGGAACTCGCCGTGAAAAAATAAATCATTAATTAAGTTATTCACTATAAAATCATAAAAATAACAAAGCAATATGCAGGCAATTTAGAACTATGTTAAAGTGATACTACGTCTTAGAATGAACATAAAAAGTTATTTTTGACACCAAGTATATCTACTGATGAATATATACTCTTATTGACCAAGTCTTAAATTCGTAATTTTTGTGTTCATTATAAGACGTAGTATCACTTTAAATTGAATAGTTGACAACTGTAATATACAGTGGTGTAAACCTATATTCGTGCATATAAAGATTCAACACCGAATTTCGTTAAAATAACAAGAACGGGATTTTTTTTTTTTTCGTATATTTTATAAAATAATCTAAATTGCTTTGTTTCGATTTTCTTTATGAATCCCTCACCTTGACCCATAATTCATGAGCAACCAACTCGACAACGGCTGCTAAAATGGGAATGTGTCACCTATTTTCGTGTACAATGTTTGATCTATAAATAAGTCGAGAAAAACATGTTGTGTAGATACCCAGTGGTATAATTAACTTCTCTTAGTATTTATCTTTAATATCAATTCATTATAACTAGTGACAATTCCTTCAAAGAACCATGATGCTAAAAAAGAATGGTGACTGACAAAATAAAAAAAGTAAAACGTAAGAGTAATTTATTCATTTAATTCATTGGAACAACAGAAGAATGTGGCCTACATTGTGTTCCATAGAATTTTTCTGCTAACATGGAATCCACAGTTTGCCACGTGACTTTGTTCACTGGAATATATTCTAGCAGTCGGCACTTGGAATTCCGATTATACCTTGGGATTAATGGTGACAATTGGTAACAAATGAAATCCGCCATTTTGTATAATTAGAAATAATAAATTTGCCATTGTTTTGAAACGATTGATAAAATTCTGCAGGTTTATCAAAACATGAAAATGCGGAAGACACGCAAGGTCGCACATGTAAATTATTTATCATTTCCGAAATTAGGTTACAAGACTGTATTACTTCTCGCTATTGTGTGAGAGACAATTAACACTGTACGTTTTTTTTTATTACAAAAATTGTGTAACTACTGGTAGATGTTGTAGATAGTGTTCACTATTTAAACCTTATTATTTAAGTCTTTCCCTTTTTGGTGCGTAACATTACTATTTAATTGGTTCTCCAATTTTCAATCGATCTGATAATTCGGTACTGTAAACCTGTTTATATATTAGGTAGTATTTACCATACACCACGTGTTATAAAAAGGAATTGTCATTCACCTAACTGAACTCAGTCGAGTCTTACATCATCATGTTTTGAAAAAAAAAAACAGTCAAGTCGAAACTAGAACTAGAAGTAGTAAAATGAGTATAAATACTGACCCTTGCTGTTTAATTTCTGGATGTTTTAGTCCATCCGTTCCATTCTTAATACCGTTATTACATCGACTTCCATTATTACTGTTATTCCCGTTCATTTTGTTCTTTTTTTTTGGCT